AAAAAAAAAAAAAAGAAACGATTACCATTGAAGGGAGAAAACTATGACAACAAGAATAAGCGAAGTCGCAGGAGACCAACACCACTCGCGGCTTGCCATCAAAGCATCAGAATAGTGCCAGGGACTCCTCGCCTTCTTCACAAAGAGAGTGAGACAGGAAAGGGCATTTGACATCGACGCACACACACACGCACGACCATACACAAAGAACAGCACACAGACACACAGACACCGCGACGCACCAAGAGAGAAAGAAGACACAAAGATACTGCACGTACACCAGTTCGTATTGAGCCTGCCCCGTAGTTCACATATCTGTCTCGGTCCTTTAAAAAAAAAAAATTTGAACAGACCACAGCAGACGAGAAGCACGGGAGTGAGACACACATACAAAACAACCTGGTGCAGGAAGGATAACGGCCAAACCTCGCGAGGCATCATTCCTCCTTGTGCGGTGTGGGTCGCCTTAGCGTCACGACGCGGCCGATCCCACGCACGTATCGACTGCCCTTCGCCAGTGTTGGCGTCTGATTGGAGGGCAGGCGCCAATCCCGCCCCACCATCTGCGCGTGACTCTTATATTTGTACCGCTCCGGCGCCGACCCCCCGCGCAGCTCAACCTCGCGGATGATCGCAAGCACATCGTCTGGCAGCGCGATGCCCGTCTGCGCGGCTATGTAGCGCGCAATCAGCGGCGCATTGCCATCACCCGCGACGATGAGTGTGTGCGCCGTGCCGTGACGACCGGCACGCCCGGTGCGGCCAATACGGTGCACGTACGCGTCCGTATCGGCGGGAATGTCATAGTTAATGACGTGGTCGAGCGCCGGCACGTCGAGACCTCGTGCCGCGACGTCAGTGGCACACAGAATGCGGATGCTGCCCTCCTTGAAGCCTTGCAGGATGGCCTCACGCTTGCGCTGCTTCATGCCACCGTGCAGACACTGCACCAAATCTGGCGGAGCCCGCAGCGCCCGTTTAAGGTTCTCCACAAGCTGCGTCGCAGACTCCTTGCGGTTGGCAAACATAAGCACCTGCTGCCGTTTCGAGATAGCACCATCGCTGTAGAGCCTCACAATGGCATCGATACGCTGCGATGCATCCTTGAGGGCATACAACCGCTGCGTGATATCCGTGTTGGTCTGGTGTGCACGATCCACCTCGAGAAATACGCGCTCCGGTAACATAAAACGTGCAGCCAAGTTTCCAACAGTGGCGTTCCACGTTGCGGTCCACATTGTAGTTTGACGTGGTCTCTTGTGCTTCTTAATGCTCGACATGATAAACTCCAGCTGCGGCGCAAAACCCAGCTCCAGCATACGGTCCGCTTCATCCATAATGAGGAAGTCGATGCGCTTGAGACTCACAGCCCCAGCCTCCACAAAATCACACAGACGCCCAGGCGTTGACACGAGCACGTCACACCCACCCCATCGCTGGAGGTGCTGCAGCTGTTTCTCACGGTCCTGGCCGCCAAAAGCCGCCTTCACACGCACCGAATTCATAGACAATTGGGAAAAAACGTCTCGTGTCTGCTGCACTAGCTCCCGCGTTGGGCAAAGTACCAGCACCTCGGGTCCTACCAGCACTTCCGCCGAACCATTCGTAGGGCTTCTGTTGCCGTCATTCCTCCTGTTGTTGTTGGTGTCGTCGTCGTCACTATTGCTAAGAGTTGGACGTGTCGCGAGGGCGGCGAGGGCCGGCAACGCAAAGGCTACCGTTTTGCCACTTCCGGTCGGCGCAATACCAACAACATCGCGCTTTTCCATGAAGAGCGGAATGGCCACGGACTGCACAAGAGTTGGTGTTGTGTACCCGGCCTCCTCAAGGCCCTTCCGTAGCCAGGGTGGCAGGCGCGCGGCGATCTCTGCAAATAACAGAAGACGCTCAACGACGACGGCATTGCGCATGTGATCCCGCACAAAGACACGACCCTTGCTGCCAGTTCCATTCGTGGTGGACTTGTCGTGTCCTGTGCCTGTCAACTCGTCATTCTCCTCCACGAGAGAAGCCTCCTCAGCGCTGGTGGCTCCCCGCTGCTGGTCTTCCTCTTTTCCACTATCTGTTGGACTCTGTTTCCTCAAAAACCGCAGCGGTGCGGGCCCCGGGTCAACCTTGAGCTGCTGCTGCGATGGGGGTTGCTGGAATACAGCGGACGGGACGTGCTCAGCAGCCCTTTTCACATCGGCGGTCATCGCCATGGCGACGGCAGCGACGCTCGCCACTGTCGCCCGCTCCTGACGTGGGTCTCCCTCAAAGAATTGCCGGGGGTCTGCCAGACTTCCGTTGATGTTCATGTTGTCGTTACCGCCACTAGTGCCAACGCTGTCGCTGTTGGAGTCATGTCCATCACGCGCCGTCGCCTCCACAACAAACGCTGCAGGGTCATAGCTGTGGGTCGTGGAGCTGCTGAATACACAGTTAGCGTCATTGACAGAGGCACGGGTGTCTTCACCGTATAGTTTGAAGGGGAAATCGTTGCTGGAATAGAGCTGCATAACTTGCTCACTCGCAGCGCCATTTCGGGTCACTGGGGATACGGTGCCATGCGCTTCCTCGCCGCCACCACTGACAGAGGGGAGGTTGTGGATCATTCCTGCCCTTGTTGTAGCCGCAGTAACATTTGCCTTTGTCTCCGCTGCCAATGAGGCGTCATTGCCTGTATGGGGTGGACCCATCTTCAGAGAGCGAAGCTGGTGGCGATACGCGAGATGATGCCCAAGAAATGCGGCGCCGGCAACGCGGCCGCAGTTTCTGAGAATACGGCAAACATCCCACCTACGCATCTTCGCAGCCGAGACAGACTTGTTGCGCCCTCACTGCCCAAACCTTTTTTTTTTCGTGCTGGTCCACACAATGAAGAAAATAGAATGGGTGTGTCCGAGCAGCCCAAGGCGAAGGGCGCGTTCCTATCTTCAGTGGGTTTGCAGAGAATGGCACACCAATAGAGTGGAAAGGGGCAAGCCTACAACAACAACAACAAACCCAATGGAGGAGATGCAGCCGTGTGTGATATATGTCTGCGTGCGCCTGTGTGAACGACTGAAAAGGGACCGGGAAAAGGCCACACACACACACACACACACACACACACACACAACAAAACAGCAAGAACGCAAAACAGATGCTCAGGAAAACAAACGGACGTGGCCATGTCGCTGTGGTGCAGCAACAAACCAAAGCGGCGCCCCTTCATTTTGCCTGGGATCGAGTCACACAAAACTTTTTCGTCCCTTATGCGTGTATGCGAATGACTACGTTTCCGTTTGCCGGATATGACCATATTGGTATATATATATATATATATATATATATATATCTTTGCCCACTTCTCTCACTTGCTCTTTTTCACTTCGATTTCTTACACCCTTCTACACCCCTCCACTTCAACACATCAGCTACCGAAGTTGTACAACGGCAGTCCTGCCGCACTGCCGCTACCCGAGTTCTTCGTTGCAGAATCAGAGCCGAAGTTGTACGTTGGCAGCGCTGCCGGGCCGCTGCCCTTCGCGCCGTCAGCCGGTTGACTTTCCGAGCCAAACGAGTACATTGGCGGCTTCACAGCGCCAAACTCGGCAACTGCCTGATGGAAGGACGAGTCATCAATCTCAAAGGTGATCGGCTTCGTGTTGGCAACGTCCGGTGGTGGTCGGAAGTCATACATTGGATCGTCATCGATGGAGACCACCTGAATAGCCGGTGCGCCACTCGAGGCGAGCGCGTTCTCCTGTGTGCCGCTTGCGAAAAGACCGACTGCATAGCCTTTCGTATCTGCCGCTTCGCCATCACCGTCTTCTGTGGCACCGAAGTCAAACACGGGGAGTTTCGGCTTGTCTTCCCCTTTCCGTTGCTCATGCTGTGGGCTCGATTCAAACATATCGCTTCTCAGACCCGCCATGAATGGGTCGGCGTGCTTTTCTGCCGGCTTCGCGCTGGTCTCACCACTTTTTGCCTTTCTCTCTTGGCCGTCAAAGTCGTTCATTGACGGAAGTCCCGTGGCGCCGAACAAATCTTCCCGTGGAGGCTTTGCCTCGCCCTCCGCGTCGCTTGAGGTGCCCGAGCGGGCCTGCGTGGTTGGTTTTTCAGCTACATTCGCCAACGCCTCCATGATTTGGCGTCGCTGCTCAGCATTGACCTCTTTCTGAACTGTCGCCGGCATAGCCGGCGCCTGCGCAAACAGAGTTGAGAGGTCGGTGCGAACATCCTCAATGGGGGGATTTTTGCCACGCGCCCATTTTAGCACGTGCTTGGCAGCGACGGCTGTCATGCGACGTATCCTCTCCCGCAACTCCTGCTCCTCCGAGGTGAGGGTGCGAAGGCGGTCACGTATCTCCTTTACCTCGCAGCCGATCGGGGTGCTGCCAATGCCTTTCCCACGCACCACATCCTCAAGCGAAACGCGCGACCTTATCAGCAATTGAATCTGCGACTGCAGCGTTTCAACTTTGGTCAAGATGGCGCATAATTCGTTCGTCACGTCGGCACGACCCTGCATACGTCCGAGGGCCTCCTGCTCCTCCTCCAGCTTACGCACCTGTTGCATCAGCGTATCTATACGGGCATTAATGCGCTGCAGCCGCTCCCGCGCAGATTCTGTGTCCGCTATTGCATCCTCTGAAATATCATATGTGAGGGGCACCCCACTGGTAACGGCCACCTGACGCAGGTAAGCAGCGACTTCTCCCACGTAGTTCGCGCGACACATGCGGGAAAGCGCGAGGAACTGCGCCGATACCACGTCCTCCACGCGCTGCGTCACCACAGTTGTGGCCATGCCCTCCACACCGGTAAGGGCACGCCGCCGCTCCTCAAGTTCTGCAAGGCGCCTCTGCAGGGGAGATTCGTCACTTTTCCCCGCCGCACTTTCGGCACGGCGGCGCTCAAGCATCGCCTCGAGAGAGATGAGCAGCGTCATCGCCTCACCACGTGCCATGTGCTTTATCTCGCCGTTTCCCCGCAGATTCTGCTGCTGCTGCTGCTGCTGCCTGGCCTTTCCTGCTGTACCCACCGGCGGCGAAGACGACGCCGATGAAGACTGGAGGAGGTTGCCGAAGGAGAGCGCGGCGTGGCCCTCAGGGTACAGCAGCACCGCCACCACCATCTGCGCGGGCGTACCGTACATGTCGAAAGTCACGCGCCGAGTGGCCGACGCGGTGATGCTGCGCAGCCCGAGCACCTCGGAGCAATCTAGTTGCGTTTCCCCGACAGGTTTGCGCGGGCGGCCGCGCGTGTACTCCTCCACGCGAAACGTGATCCACTTGGGCAGGAAGCGTGGCCCACCGCTCTTGAAGTGCAGAATCGCAGCACCCTCCGGCATCGGGCTGAAGTTCACAACGCCGTCCTCCGCGATGTAACACGGAGTGGAGCGGTACGTCTCGCCACGACGGTACGTGATGGTGTACTGCTGCCCGTTAGGCATGGAGGTGCACTCCAGCGCCAGCACCTTGAAGCGGACAATGTACGTTTCAGGCATCGGGCACCAAAGCACGTAGCGACAGCAGGCACGCTATGCACTCGCTTTTCCCTTTTCTCTAAGCACTCAAAGCTTGGGCGGTAAAAAAAACAAAAGAGGAAGAAGAGACAATAACAAAAAAAAAAAACTGCAAGACAGCGCGTCGCCCTCTCCCCAGAATGTGTGCCGGTGTGTGTACAACGCGTGCACATGGGCGCGGCGCCACCACCGGTGACGGAGAAACACACAGAGTTGTGGCACGCGTCACGCCAGCGCCAGGCCTTGCAGACCTTCAAAAAGGCCTCCGCTTTGATTCTTCATCGTCCCATCAGAACATTATTCGCCGTTGCTTGCTTTTTTTTTTTATCCTACCCCGTGCTGTTGTCGGCTTCATTCCTCTTTTTCGTCTCTCTCTCTCTCTCTCTCTCCCTCCCGCCCGCGGGCTCTCTCCCGAACGTCCACCGGCGCGGAAGGGACAAAAGACGGACAACAACGCGGCGCACACACATTGCGTGCACGCCACAACAGAGGAGAAACAGAAACACACGTAGGCGCAAAGCCAACAACAGCAGCAGCAGCAACAGCAAAAAGAACGAAAAACAAAAAAAAAAGAAGAAAGAAGAGCCATAAGGATCTCCCTCCATGAAGCGTTTGCATCTGCACTTGGTTGCGTGTGGGTCCGTGTGACCGCGCATCCGCCGTGCATCGCCGCAGGAAGAGGGCCTGCTGATGACTGCGGGCTCGTGATGACGAAAACAGAAAAAAAAAAGAATTTCCCCAGATGAAATAGACAACACACAAATCGCACAAGAAGGATACACAGAAAGAAAAAGTAAGAAAGAGGACAGAAAGAAAGATGGGTGGGTGGCGAGTGGGATTTCTCCCGTTCCTGTATTTACTGCCGTTTTTCCCCTCCTCTTGCGTAGTTTCAGGCCCGCCCACCCAGCACATCAAACCTGTGTCGTTGTTGCTGTTGCTCTGTCGCCCCCCACAGACACGCAGGAGGAGAGGTGCCAATATGTAGAGAGAAGCAGACACAAATGTCTCTGCTTCACTGTCTTTTTTTTTCCTTTTCGTGATATTTTCGCCGATTTTGTTTCGCTCGTTGCTTCCCCCCCTGTATTGGCGTAACTGCTGCAATTTCTCGCTCATTCTCTCTCTTCCTCTCCTTCGCTTTCTGTTGTCTTCTCCTTTGCTTTGCGGGGGGTTGGGACACACGCTTCACGTCGTCGGATGACGACACAGATAATCATTTCGTCTATGCGGAATATATGTATATACACGCTCGCACCTTCTCCTAAAATCAACATTTTTTTTTTCGTTTGCACACAGACCACAAAGAGGCCATGCTTTGGGGGCTTCTCCCACTTCTTGTTTCCCCACCAAGTGTTTTGGCCCGTTTGTGTGGTGAGTGCCGCTCGCAGAGAGGGGGAGAGGGCACTTCTGCGTGCACGTGTGGTTGGATGCTGCTCATATTTACAAACCACATAAAAACACATATTACACCACATTCAATCCACACTTTTTTCTTCTTCTTGAGGCGTGGAATATGCCCCTTGGATTCCCCTCGCTGAACATATATATATATATATATATGCGGGTAAATAGATTCTTGCTCTTGCTGATAATAATAATGATAATGGAGACAATGCCATTATCGCTGCTGTCGAAGGACGATGTGATGCGTCTTGTCATTGACCCCCACCCGCCTTTTTATCCCTTTTTTTTGCGTCACTCAATCACACTCCGCTCTTATTTCGCTTTTCGGTGCCTGCCTCTGTACAAGACATGGCCCCGCACATTCAACCTTTCGTCTTCTCACAAGAGCTTGGGTAATTTTTTTGTCGCCTCATATTTTTTGTTGTGTTTTTTTGTTTATTTTATTAATTGTGCGTATCAGCACAATTCACCGCAGCACCCCGAACAGCGACGGCGGTGTGTCGGTTCTATGCACGCGCGTGCGTGGCCCCTGCCACTGCACAGCGGAAGAGAAATACGGGGAGGGGCGGAATAAAAACAAAAGAAAAATACTGAAAACAACCAGACAAGTAAGACAATCAAAACAACAAACATACACACTAGAACAACAACAACACACAGAAACAAAAGCGTGATAGAAAAAAACGACAAAAACGGAATGAAGCAAATTACCACCATTAATTAAAAAAACGATGGGGCAACGTGCGCATTTCGTTTTCTGTCTACACTTTACTTCTCATTTCTGCTAGAACTGATGTTTCCCAAGTGACACCCTCATTGTTTTTGGCTGCTTGCTTTCCTTGACCCAACCCTCCCTCCACTGCCCTGCACCACCGCTCGCCCCCGCACGTTTGTAGAACATTCGGGGCTCAGCACGCACACACGCGGAAAACGCCATAAACAAAACGGAAAACCGAAAGAAAGACGCGCACGAACAAGGAAAGAAGGAAACACAAAAAAAGTTTTTTTTTTGAATTATTGGGAGCAAAACACAAAAAGAAATAGGAAAGGGAAAAATGTGAGAGGAGAGGGGGGAAAGATATATATAAAAAAGCTCAGTAGCAGGCTCTATGGTTTTTGCGTCCAAGCTGTCCACTCGGGTATCCACCGCAGTGGCCGGGGGACGCAGGCGCAAGAAAAATTCCCAACACACGATCACACACGCGTACAAAGCACAGCGAGGGAAAAAGTGAACCGGGATGGTGATTGTCGCTGGTGCCGTGGTAGGGGGGCGTGGAGGAATTCTTTTGCGGGTCTCAACAAATGCATGGGTAGAAAAAAAGGGGGGGGGGAGATAAGAGGGGGATTGTATGCTACTCATCAACACACACACAGAAAAACTAAACGAACGTGAATTCTTTCCTTTTTTGTCCACTACTGCTCTGGCTGAAGCGAGGAGTCGACATCAACTTCCTGACTCCGCTTGCTGTCCTTCTTCGCACCGCCTCGCCTGCGGTGTTCCCTGCCGTTCTTGCGGTGGGTGTCCTCATCTGACGTTTGCCGCCGCTGCCTGCAGTTCACCTCCCAGTTAAGCTGGTGCATCCAGATCCGGCACTGGTACTGGCGGTTCAGCGCACGCAGAAGGGATTTAAACTCCACGTAGGAGTCGCTGCAGTACGTGAAGGTCAGCTTCTTGCGGTCGAACTGGAAGACTGCACGCTGCACCTGCAGCGGCGTGCGCATGTTCAGCGAGTGAATAGCGGCCTTGCAGAAGCGAAGCGCCTCTTCTTCCAGCTGATCCAGGCGATGAAAGGCCTCAACTTCTTCTGGGAGAGCCTCGCGAAGCACGTGCAGCGGATGTTTTTCCTTCTTTTCATCCTCTGTGTTCTTCAAGGAAGTCAACTCGCTGCGCGCAACAGACACAATACGTCCCAAGTCTTCTCCACGATCGCCCTCCACAATAACGTAACGATCTACAAGCTCTTCAGCTTTCACCACGGCACCAAAGATCTGCGGCACATCGTTTACGATGAATACTTCATTCCCCAAACGCAGCTCCACATTCACTTCGGCAAATATGACACCACGTACGACCTTGGGGCGACCATCAACGTACATCTTGTAGAGGTTGTTGCTCCGCTTAATTGGTGTGGAAACCACCGAAGTACCCGTGTTGCCGCAGGAGATAGTGCTGTCACTTAGGTTAACCGCCTTGTCAGCAACACTGCTCGTGTTGGCACTTTCCGTAGGCTCCATGGGTATCTGATACGACGCCGACGTCGGACCTGCGTAAACCGAAGCAATGCGCTGGGCGTAATAGTACGCAGATGCGTAGACACTGCTTTCATATGCTGCTTCATCCATGTACATGGACTCATCGTAGGTGTATGGTGCATACATATTCCACGGAAGCTCGGAGGGGACAAACGCAGGCGCATTGGGATTGGGCTCATGCCGCTTCTTCTCCTTCACCGTATCCAACGTAGTGACGGGCGTCAGGATGGCTCGGCAGTACGGATTGTGAGCATGCTTCTTCCTGATCACCTTCTTAAGGTCAGTGTTCACTCCGTTATTGGCCTTGTTTGCCTCCTGAATGGCACCAGCGGTGCAGTCTGCAAGGGGAGCAATGTACATGCCTTCTGCTGCTTCGTTGCGCGCGCACGTAAAACTGGTGAAAAAGTTGGAGTGTGTTTTTTGACCGGGACGAAACCACTTCGTGGATCTATTCCAAAACAAAGCAGAGAAAGAACGAAAAAAAGGAAGAAAATAACGCCCCCACCCCTCAGACACGCAGAGGAACACACATGGCTCTGGTTCCCCACCGGAAGGCACCATAATAATAATGGAGTAACCGCAAAAAAAAAAATGTTGCAAAACAACAAGCGGCTTCCAATGCCTCCATGCTCATTCTACGCCTTTGTCACACGCCAGATGCGTACCTTGTTGTCATCACCGCCCGAGGCCAACAGGAGGCCCTTGCCCTCACTTTCGTCACTAAAGTCTCCGTTTGCGAGCGCGGAGAACGCGACGCTGTTCACATCGGATTCGTGAGCGCACGGCACTTCTGCCACAACAGAAACATGAACCTCATCGTACCCCCGTGATTGGTGCAGGCCCAAAAGGGTCAATTTGTTGTCGCCACTGCCACATGCCACAAGCGCATTGTTGTTGAGAGGCGCCCAGCACACCGAGTAGACGGAACGCTCCGCAAATCCTGTGGCGGAAGCCACCGTGCGGAATTTACCCTCCCCATTGCGGGACCAAAATGAGACGCTCTTATCGTCCGAGCAGCAGCATACCAAAGGTTGGTAGTCAGGCTGCTCCCGTGGCCTCTCGTCCTCTCGATCCTCACGTAGTGCGTCGATTGACTGTTCGATGGGTTGCACAGCAATCGACCACACGGTTCCCTCGTGACGTACTAACGTCTGAAAGCAGTACCAATCGTCTCGTCGGTGTGACTCTGCCCATATCTTCACGGTGTTATCATACGAGCATGACAGCAGGATCGGTTTCTCACCTCCCCCGGAGGGGAGCATCCATGCACATGCCTTTACGTCCTGCGCATGTCCCGCAAGAACACCTGCACATTCGAATTCATTGACGTCAACGCGATCCCACACCCACACTGTTCGGTCACGTGAGCATGTCGCTAACGTGTTATCGGTCACCCACATCACACACTTCACTTCACTCTCATGCCCGTCGAGGACAGCCTCCAGCTCGAACTCGAAGCACCCTGGGTCGTCCGAGGGCCGTTTCCACACCGTTGCCGTTCGGTCAAAGGAAGCACAGGCAATGTACTCGCCGGTGGGACTCCAGGAGACATGCCGAATCGTTCGACTGTGCTCACCCTTCAGAGTGCCAATACACTCCCACAGGAGACCCTGCGACTCGCCATTATTCATCGAAGCATGCTGTGAGCAGCTCCACAACCGCACTGTGCCATCGCCAGAGCACGACGCCAAGACATTTGCCGTTGGACACCACGACACACACCACACACGATCCGTGTGACCTTCCAAGACTGCGACAGGGTCTAACTGGAGAAGAGGTGGTGCATCGTGTGGCAGATTTAACGGAAGCTCTTTATGAGATCCACTACTCTTTTCACCACAAGAGGTAGTCTTACCAGATTGCTGCATTATCCGTCCTTGACCTTTTGGCAAACCTTTGGCAAGCAAGGAGAGACAATTCATTACCAAGTAATGCGAGAGTTGCGCATAAACAAATAAAAACTGAGTCCCACCACCTTACAGCAGGCGACTTCCGCTGGAGGCCTCTCCCTTTAAGCGAAACATTCTCTTTAAACGATTGTGCCGCGGAACACAATGCGGTATTCCTTGTGCCACGCATTACACACAAACACACACACATACACACACACGAAGATACAAAAATTTTGCACCAGCACGGCCACCAAAAACCTCAACTACTTTTTTAGTCGCTCTCATCAAATTGAAACGCCCGTACGCTGGTGTCAACACCAGCCGCGTAAAATTTTGCTTTATTTTTCTGTTTCAGCTTGTTAAAGTTCTTTCCCTTAACCCGCATCATCTCCTGATTCTGGCGCAGAATCATGTGCTCTGCCCCCGGACGGTTGTCCTTCACCTCTTCACTGTGAAAAAAAACTTTCGTCGGATCAATGCGCTCAAAACGTTTTAGAGTGCCGTTATTTTTACAATTGTTTTTTCCGCCATCACGGGTTTCTTTTGTCCCACTTCCGTTGGGCCCTCCCACCGCTGGTGTGCTTTCAACCCGTAGGCTCTTTCTTCCCGGCTCCTCTACATCACTGCTATCAGCTTCCGGGGCCCGCTTTCCCACGGCCTTCCTCACGGGCTCGTCGTCGTCGTCGTCATCAGAGGAACTTTCAGGGGCCGGGGCCTTTTTTGCTGCAGGCTTCATTGCAGGAGACGCCTTGCCCTTTGCCACGGGTTTCCTCACGGGCTCGTCGTCATCGTCAGAGGAGCTGTCAGGGACCGGGGCCTTTTTTGCAGCAGGCTTCGTTGCAGGAGACGCCTTGCCCTTTGCCACGGGTTTCCTCACGGGCTCGTCGTCATCGTCAGAGGAGCTGTCAGGGACCGGGGCCTTTTTTGCTGCAGGCTTC